AATACAACCACATCGAACATCACAATCAACATAACATGTCCTGCATAGTTCAAATAGTCCACAATGTTCATACAGTCCCAAATAGTTATAGGAAAGTAACTACAAAATCCATAATAAGTACATACTAACATCTACCACAAAACCCTCACTGTCTCCTAGTCTTACCCTTACCCTTGTGACCAAGAGCGCTGGTACTTGGAGTGTAAGGGTCAGGTGGACGGCGTCGCCTAGTGCCTGAAGGCTGTGTAGGCTAAGTCGAAGGAGCGTCCTAGAGCTGAGACGGGCCAAGCTCCTCGTGCCTCTGGTCCACGTCGTCGTCATCCTCATCCTCGTCCTCATCCTCGTTCCCTATAGGTGCTTGGCTAGAGGAACCTAAGCCTCCTCTACCTGTGGAAGGAACATACATGTCTTGCATCATGGCTGTCCTGCAACCACAACGAGCAGCCGCACGACATAGCCGACGTGACAGCCTCTGTTGTACAAAATTATGTTAACTGAAAGAATCTAACATATTAATAATATGTTTGAAAGAATATTTTGAATCTTACGTCTAGGAAGCTACGCGTGTCGTCGTCCCTGACTCTCGGACGAAAGCGCTCAATATCTTCAACAGAGCATTTGAGGGTATTGCCCTACAATAAAGTTCTCAGTGATAATACTTCTCAACAGATAGCAACATATTTTGTTTTCTTTTGTACAAGAATCTAACGTATTATAAGGATGCTATGGCTCGAAGGTGCCACTAACTAAAATAGATACCTCTAACGCATAATGTATTGGTATGCAACTTAACGTACAAAAATAAGGTAATTGACTTACCACTCTGTCCAAGATTGGTCCTGCCTCCACCTGCCTTCCTGCACGAGTAGATTGGTCGTACGCCGTGTCTTCATCGTCGGAGGACTCGATGTCGATGTAGTCATCTTCTGTCCATTGTAGCCTCAGGCTGCAACGTGTCGCACGTTGGTACCAAGCTTGGTAGCGCCTGAACTCACGGTTCGTGTGCAGCTCGTTGTTCTCGTCCACGTTGTCGTGCAACAGCTCTCATTGCTCAATGTAGTACTGGTGGTGCTTCTCCCAGTCAAAAATCTTTCTGTTCTTCTGACAATCCAACCTGCACGTATGTCATCATTACTTGAATATATGTACATGCCTAGCTACTGCCACGAAATGAGAACATAGAAAGTGGTACTGCCTTAGTTTATCACAAGTGCATGTGAAATCTTAGAGGATTACCACATGCATCCTCGACTCTCGGACCTTACCGTCGGATGTTGTACCGCCCCTATGCTCGACCTGATAAGTCCCTGTGGCGTGGTCAAAACATGTAACCTCATGTGTGCCAGCCCTTTCATTTGCCTTCTCTCGGTGTGCCTTTGGTTTCGGAGCCCATATCTCTCCATCACTCTGCAACTTCAATGCATGGGCATGTTTATTATTGAACCAGGCAACAAGCTTGTAGAAGGTGAATTGAACGATTGCATTCACGGGCATACCACGTATCCCCAATAGCAACTTATTAAATGACTCTGCCATGTTGTTGCACTAAAACTCATACCTTCATCCACCGGCGTCGTGAGCTCTTGTCCATTTCTCCAAATCCCACATCAAACCTATGAGCCATTGTCTACCTTCTGCATTTGATGCAGTTCTGACCTGCTCCAACTTTTTTCTGAAAGTACTTGTCCTCAAGCTGTCGAGCAACCTCTTGGAACAGATCAAAGTTATCCTTCACACCATCCTTCTAAAGTAGATTCTTGGCAAGGTGCCGAGTACACTAATGATGGTGTAAAGGTGCATACCCCTCTATCTGCTCTCGCATGGCATTAAGTATGCCCTGGTGCCTATCAGATATGATGTCAACCTCCCTGCCAGGCCCAACCACATGTATCCGGACTAGCCTCAAGAACCATCCCCAACTGTCATTATTCTCCTTCTCAACCAAAGCAAATGCCAAAGAAACCAACTTGTTGTTCGCATCATAGAATATGGCTATAAGAAGTGTGCCCTGATATTTGTCAATCAAGAATGTACCATCAATAGAGAAGACGGAACGACAGTGCCTAAAGGCATCGACACACTGAGGGAAGCACCAGAAAGCACAGAAGAATTCTTCCTCCCATCCTTTCATGCATTTGATTGCATTGAAAAGTACTAGCAGCTGCTCATACCCATCATCCCAGTCCCCATATATCATCTTCCACGCTCGCTGCTTAGCCCTCCAAGCTTTACCATAAGTTATCACATAACCTCCATACAACGTCTCAACGGTCCTGATAATTGCCCTAACCTTCATGTTGGGTTCTCCCTGCAATATTCCAATCAACCGCTTGGCAATGAGGGTAGATGTCAACTACCGATGCTTCAGTGTCATCACATGGTCAGCACAATTGTGTGGCCCGACAAGTTTTGTGATTTTTCACTTTCCGGTGACCTTTTGCTTCCTTGCACAAATCCTCCATGGGCAACGTTCCTTGTCACACACAACTGTGTAACGATGCTCCACATATGAATGCAAGATCTTGTAAGATCTCTTTCGTATCACTGCAAACGCCTGTAACCACCTCTTCAATGCAGGGAGGTCCTTGAATACCCTTCCATTCTCAATTACCATGTTAGGGTCGGCCTTAGGAGCTTCTAGGAGCTCATCATCACGTCCTTCTACATACGCCTAATCGGAATGAGCAAGATCGCTGAACTCATGAACTCTTGGATCACGGTAACCGGGAAAGATATGCCTCAACATTTCAACATCACTCTCTGTCAGTTCTCCAACAGGACGATCATCATCAGAATCAAGAGCCCTTGCCATCTCATATGGCTCCGAATCATTCATAATTTCAACACTATTGGAGCCATGGAATCCATCTCCACAGAGCACTTGCACAGCAACAGTGGGCACATCCACATTGTCAGGCATGTCTACTGCAACATAAGTAGAAAAATGAAGAAAGAATGAAAAATTGGATGTAAGGAATAGGGTAAGCTCCCAATAAACATGCGGATAAGACACTTACTCGGATGATTCTGTGTCAAAGAGATCTCATGAGGAGGATGTACCACAACATCATGAGTCTGACAAGCATCTCTAACTAGCTCATTGGGGGTAGATTGAGCATCGGGAACCGTAGGTGCAACCTCCACATCCATATCAGGTTCCGAGACGGAAGGGTCGAAGTGTGCCTGTTGATTCATTGGTGGGGAAAACCTACGAGGGATGGGATCAACTAACACCCGATGCACAACCACGTCCAAACATTGCAGCTGGCTCTTCATAGCCGATCTCACATAGTTCTCCTACTGATCCGCATATCCAATTGGGATCATTCGTCTAAGGATGTTGGAAGGAGAACCTAGGTACAGTACATCCTCAACTGCAATGCCATCATCATCATCTCCAAGGCAATATAGCTCCTCCCGAGCCCTTGCATCCATCTCACTAAATGAATGCCTACCATCAAATAGCATAGGCACGCTTTGCATGTCAACAAACTCAACATATCTATAGCGATCGCTTTCAACGGTGCCTCCATGATATATGGTCACTAGGTTGTCCATCTATTTCAAACACGTAACAAAACACATGTCCTTTAGTCAAAAATACACGCTAACTACTAACGTGAAGGCCTCTAATATTTAGATAAGTAAAACTCGACCTGCGGGGGTTATGACGGCCCCCGGATTTTCCCTTTAAGAAGAAGATCTTACACAGATCGAGAAAACCCCCGAACCCTCGCCCCATCCTGACGCAGCGGTATCTGTTGCCCTGTGAGAACCGGGCCGAGCCATAACTACGCTTTGGCACATGGGGATGGACGAGGGGATTTTTTTAACCTCAGTCTAGAATTAGTTCCCACGAGGAGTCAAACTCAGGACCTGAGGAGTGCTGTCGGATCACATAACCGTTTGGGCTAGACGCCCTTTGGCAGTATTTAGATAAGTAAATGTATACTATGTACTAACTACTACATATTTATACTAAGTACTAAATATATACCTATGTATGTATCTAACTATGTAATAACTATATACGAAAACTAATTATACCAACATAAGTATCTATATATCTATCTAAATATCTATCTACCTATTACACCCTAACTATTGTTAACTAAGTACTAAATTACCAATTCAAATGAATAAAGTGCAGTCGGTGGAGTGTCGGTGGAGTGCAACAGTAAGCCACCGGAGCGCCTTGGCGTGCCTGGGCTGGAGCTCCCGCGCGCCTTGGCGTGGCGGGTAGGGGCGGGCACGGCACGGCGAACCGTGCAGGGCGGGGCAGGCTACGGACGGATGGGGTAGGGCGAGCCGCGGCGCCGAGTGGCGCGGTAGGGCAGGGCGTAGCAGGCTGCGGTCGGGCTGGGCGGGACAGCGCGTGACGTGGCGAGCAGGGTGGCCACGGCGGCCGGCGGGCACGGTGGCGGTGGCGGGCGGGCACGGTGGCCGCGGGCGACCTAGATCGAGAGAGAGGAAGAGAGAAAGAGAGAAAGGGAGGGAGGGCCCATACGTAAGTCAGGGCTCGACGCCAATAATCACGGCGTCAAGATCCACGGCGTCGAGTTGGCTGCCATGTTAGCGTCCACGTCGCCAACGTAGCCCCGACCTAGGCGTCAGAATGTATGGCGCCGAGACGTGTAAGCTCGGCGTCACCAATGACGGCGCCGAGTTAAGGGACCAGATTTTAAAATCATATCTCATAGGCATATTTGTGAAAAATTTTCAAAAAAAGGGGGTAAAAAAATAAAAAATTCGGGCGGCTTCCGCACACTCGACGGTCGCCGCCCTCCGCGCCCCCTTCCCGTCCGCCGGTCCGAGTGCGGTTGCCTCCTCCATCCCGGCTAGGGCAGGATACCCAACGCGCCACCTTGTACGGCTTCTGCCTGGTTTGAGTCTTTGACGAAACCCCAGAAGCATCCGGCGCTCGCGCTAGCCTCGTTCTCCCCCAAGCACTGTTTCGCCGCCGTTCGATAGCCGAGGCAAGAGGCGGATAAGTCTCGGAGATGTCGGTGCTCATCGTCACCAGCGTGGGCGACATCGAGGTGGATCTCCACACCGACCGGTGCCCCCTCACCACCAAGAACTTCCTCAAGCTCTGCAAGTAAGCATCCCGCGTCTAGGGCTTGTTCGATCTCTCGGGTTCGTCTGTAGTTTCTGACAACACAGTGCGGTTGATGATTTATGTTCTGTCCTGTATCAAGCTGTTCAGTTGTTCAATTCGGCGTTGTAGGGCCACTATTGGCTTGATTGTAATTTTTGGGTTGCAATTGCAGTAGGTATAAGTTGGTGAAGCTAGTCGCTAGTGGTGATCCTGCATCTATTCATAATTTACATCTAGTTTCGTGGGATTCCTAATTCCAAATGTATTTAGCTGCTTACTGATTTCTAGGCTCGTAGGTATGCTACCAGAAATTTTGAAATTATTGCGTTGCAAGCTTAGTACTGGACCTTTATAGAGATGATAGAGCCACAGCGATGACCTTAGGCGCCATCAAATGATTGTATTCTGTTTCTTAGGTTTCTTGTTATCAATTTTTATGGCATTATGGGAACTGGATTCCTGCACTCAATTTCTTCCACAGAAACTTGAATTTTCACCATTGGTGAAGTGTTTGAAGAATCGAAGATTATGCCTGGCTGCTCTTTTGTTATCACTTAATAATGGAAAATACCATCTCATGAATGTGAGATTATCATTTCAGATAATTAGGGTACTTATTCTCTGTTTCTCTTCTTTGACCGACCAGAATGAAGTACTACAATGGGTGTCTGTTCCACAAGGTGGAGAAGGATTTCTTGGCGCAAACTGGCGATCCAACTGGAACTGGCACCGGTGGTGATTCTGTATACAAGTAAGTGATTCTTTTGATTTGAACTCTTGAAATGTCTCCGAAGTTTCATCTCTGAACCATATATTGCGGTATCCTGCATCTAGATATAACTAGTGTATTCAATGGATACAATACACGTATAGTTTTGATAGAGCCTTTCTTAGATGTTTGCTCTTTTTCATATGTATACTGTTATTATTATTGAGGTATCTTATTATTACATATTGTTAAATGTATGCCTGAAAACTATATCTTATTTCCTCAGATTTCTCTATGGTGATCAAGCTCGATTTTTTGATGGTGAGATCCGTCCAGAGTTAAGGCATTCAAAAACTGGAACTGTTGCTATGGCCTGTGCTGGTGAAAACTGCAATGCCTCTCAGGTGCAGTGCCTGCCCTAGCGTCTTAATTGATAATATTGGATGTTCCATTTTTCAGTATTTTGTTGCTTGTTTTGGCCTTCTATTTATGTGTTTTTTAATGTTTTCAGTTCTACATTACCTTGCGGGATGACGTGGATTACCTTGATGATAAACACACTGTGAGTAGTAATTGATTCTGTTAACTGATATATTTTTTTTCTTATGAACAGAATTCCTTTATTTGAACAATTCCTGTGTTTGTTTTGTTGACCATAGGTGTTTGGGATGATTGCTGAAGGTTTTGATACGCTGACAAAAATAAATGAAGCTTATGTTGATGATAAAGGAAGACCATTCAAGGACATAAGGTGGAGTATTGATTAATGCCTTAGTTACAACATTAAACGAATGTTTCACTTCTTCTCCAGCATTAGTCTCCTTTGTCATTTTTATTCCTGTTTGCTGACCTTATACAACTTAATTATTTGCAGAATTAAGCATACATATGTCTTGGATGATCCTTTCGATGATCCTCCTCAGCTTGCTGAACTTATTCCTGAGAATTCTCCTACAGGAAAGCCACGTGATGAGGTAATTGAGTATCCCAATCATGTTCATTTCAGTAATAAGAGAGGATGAGTAGAGATGCATCATTCTTAATCACAGGCCATGGTTCATTCATTCTCTTTTTGGTTTCTTTTCCTAAATTAGCAATCGTTAAGAATCATTAGATGTCAAGAATTCTGTTTCTTTGTCCATGCACCTGTTTTTTTTTTTTTATTCCAAATTATTGTCAAGGCAGACTGCAGTTTTTTTTTCCACCTATTTCCTTTTATTGTCTGTGTACCTCTTAATTTCATTTGAAAGTTTGGGCATGGTAGTTATTGAGTGGATATTCATTTCATTTAGTGTTGAAATCTTCCCCGTGTTCTATCTATACCAACTTGTGCTACAATTGGGGCATATTTCAACCCTATAAAAGAGATCATATCTTGAATCCAATAGTAATCTGGCAACATGGCAACATGCCAACATGAGTATGTCCTCATATTTTTCCCTTTTTTTGTTTCAAATTGACAGGTTGCAGAAGAGCGTTTAGAGGATACTTGGGTTCCTTTGGACCAAACAGTGGCCCCTGAACAACTTGAGGAGATGATCCGCTCTAAAGAGGCACACACAAATGCAGTAATACTTGAGAGTGTAAGTCCTGGTTCCATATGAAAGTTGGCAACTTATTTATTTCTAATTAGTACTTATATCATCTTTTATGACTGGTTAATACCTTTTTTGTGCAGTTGGCAGATATTCCAGATGCTGAGATTAAACCGCCAGAAAATGTCTTATTTGTTTGTAAACTCAACCCAGTAACACAGGTTAGTGTTAGTTCCTGATTGCTTGCAGCTTGCCTTCCACTTCTCCACTTCATTGGAGTTTTTAAGATGTACTCGTACATTTCTTCAGCCTTTGTTCATACAAGTGTTTGGTTTTCTACTGCTGTGCCTACATTGCTGATCATTTTAGGCCTGAAAATTTGAACATCTTTTGCTGATTAACTTCAATTGTTTTGCAGGATGAAGATTTGTACACAATCTTTTCTCGTTTCGGAACTGTGACATCGTGAGTGCCTTTCTTATAACTAATTGTGTGCATTTACTTGTTTATTCTCGTCTTTCAATTTCTTAACTTTTGTTTGCAGTGCTGAAATAATTCGTGACTACAAGACTGGAGATAGTTTATGCTATGCTTTTATTGGTATGTTTCGTCCCTTGAAGACTCTTACTGTGCTGATAAGTACTGTTTGCTATTTGGCTAGATACCTAGTTCCAGTTTGTTCATTGCACAATTGCATTGGCTTAAGTAGCTGGCCAAGGCAACTGTGATCTATTTTGTCAGCTGTGTTACACATGTATGTGTTAGCCTCTTTAGGATAGTTGGTTATCCTTTGAACGGGCAACTGGGATTGCTGATTGTACGAGGTTGAAGGATGAGTGAGTAGTATACAGGGAAAGAAACAATTCCTTGCTCACCTACTAAAGTATTGTTTCCTGTCTCTCTTTTTTATTTCATAAATAACATATTCTAAGAGTTGCACTCTATTGAAGAGTAGAAAACCTCCCAGTATTTCCTCAAAGTTCCATTTGGTACAGTCTGGAGCCATTTATGTGCTGACAATAATAATAACTTAAAAAACTCAACCAACCTAGGAGGAACTAGGTGTTGTTGTAAATAAGAAATATACACCCAAATTTGAGCCAAAGAGGACTTGAACCTAGGTGGTAGGGGGTGTACACCCACACCTCAGATTCTCACCAATCTAGCTAGGTTCAGTTCGTGTGCTGACAGTATTTGTGAATGCTCCTAGATTCATGATGCTTAGCTCTTAGCTGAGTGGCCTAGTATGACATGCTAACAATTTATCTTGATCTGTCAGAATTCGATACAAAGGAGGCTTGTGAGCGTGCATATTTCAAGGTCAGTATCTCAGATTGCCATATGGGTGTGTATTTACAGTGGTACTATAGCATTTTTCATGCATAATTTATAGATTATATCCTCACTACATGTTTATTTTTTTCCATGATAGAGTCCTGCCCTACTTAGGATGTGCCCAACAACGACTATATACCTTTTTTAAGGATAGGGTAGAGTCAACCTTTTAGTTCCATTGATTTTAGTTAGCCATGCAAGCAGTGCAAAAGACCAAGAAAAAAAAAGACTGAACAAAGCTAAAGCAACCTGATAGAAGAAGAAAAAGGGGAAAAGAAACTAAATAAACTAAAATGAAAACTGCAAGAACTGTGAACTGAAAAAAAAGTGGAAAATGAAACAAAGATCTTAAAAGACTGCTCAGTGAACTTTTTTGCCCAGCGGAGAGTCCGAGTTTTGCATCTAACACAATAGCCATATTAATTCTCATGTGGTGTTCCATTATGAATAATCTGAAGAGAGTATTATTTACACGGTGTTATGCTTGTAGATGGACAATTGTCTGATTGATGACCGAAGGATCCATGTTGATTTTAGTCAGAGTGTTTCAAAGCTGTGGGGTCAGTTCAGACAAAGTAAAAGAAATGCAAAGAAAGGTAAAAGATCTGAAACTATATTGTCCATAACCCGGTTGTCCATTTTATGTGTATTGAAAGTTTTGTCATCTTTAGTCTCACATTGAGCCATTGTTTCTGACTGCAGATGGGTGTTTTAAGTGTGGTGCCCCTGATCACCTAGCCAGAGACTGCGATCAAGATGGCGAGCAGAAAAACAAAGGCCCAAATTATGTTCTGAAAGATGAAAACACACAGCGTGGTGGAAATCACCGTCGAAGGTCAGTCCCTACCCTCTTTGGTTCTTTCTTCTGTTGCACAAAAAACATTGAACACTGTTTCATACTGTGATACTCCACTCTTATTTTGCAGCTATGATCTAGTCTTTGACGAAGACGAAGCTGATTATTCTGATAAGAGAGATCACGAAAATGGCCACAGAAGAAAGAATCGAAGAATAGATGATCGAAAATCAGAGCTGCCACCTCACGGTGATCGTGGTAGAAATAGCCATGAGAGAACACACAGTGATGAGAAAGGAAGCAGGCATGGGAAAGATGATAGGAACCGTGGGGGTCAGAAACATGATGACTACCACAGTTACAGTAGATCTGGTGATAGAAGCTCTGATAGATATGATGATCGTGATTATAGAAAGCACTCTAATAGAGGCAGAAGTGGGGAGGAAGAGGAAGACTACAGACGAAGGGATAAATCTGATGGAGAGCGGCGCCATAGAGATGAGAAGAGCGATCGCCGGAGAGATGAAGACGGCCACAGGAAAAGGAGCCCAGATAGTAGACATAGAAGAGAAGACGGAGGACACCATGTGAAAAACCAGCAGTCTGATGATAGGTCCTATAAGGAGATAAGGCACAGAGATGGTAGATAAGATAGGTTTCTGTACGACACTCGGTTTTGTTGCCTGCTTTCCACTGACGTCCCTGTAAGCGGTATTCTTAGCTCAACTTTTTTTGGAAGTCAATGTAACTGCCTGGAATATGTTGAATTGTTGTAGTGTCCAGATCTGAATCTTTTCTCTGTGTTTACAGCTTTTGCTGGATATTTTGTTGCAATAAAAAAATTGCTAATTTTGACTGTTTGCTCTTATTCTATTGTAAGAATTGACATGGCAAACCTATGGGGTTATGTTGCTGATTAAATAATTCTTCATTTGTGCTTTGCTAATTCCTTGCGTCTCTCTAAATGGTGTATTAGCTTTGATCCGCGGTCTGCACACACCCAACCCGGAGAATGATGTTTAGTCCCACACCGGTGAGTCTAGAAGAGATTAGCCAAACCATCCAACATCTTATTAAGCAGCAGGTGAGGGCAACCAACTCAAGCAGCTGCGTGGTGAGCACAAAGCGAACTATTCTTTTCGCCTTTTACTAAAGAAGAATACCGTGTGCATGCCTCAGAAAGCAGCGTACTCTGATTTTTAGAGGATACTTTCTCAATATTATGATTATTATAAATTATGATTATTAAGAATTATGATTTTAAAATTTTGAGATTTAAATTTTACCATTACTATATTAAGATTTTTAAGTTTTTAAGATGGGATCTTCTGGTTTTTGCTATGAGGAAATGGATAATCCCTCATTGCTGTCTGGGGGTTGGGGAAGAAAAGCAAGAGGAAGCAATGTAGTTGGGAAGAACAGCGAGAAGATGTCTGGTCTTTTACATAGCCATCCCATAGGTTCGTTGCACACGCTTTACTTGTATTGAAAGGAGCATCGGCCTTATGTTGGGCAATTTGACTCACAAGAAATGATTCCATTTTTAACAAATGTTTTTTTTTTTAGAGACATATTGGCTATGATTCTAGACTCAAATATAGCACTTGGATGAGCACAAGACATCCATTGTGAAGGCATGCAGGCTTTTAAAGGCTAGTGCTATATTTTTGTTTGCTTCTTATGGCTGGAGTTTCATTTATCGTCTTGGATATTAGAAGTGGTTCCCTGATTTTTTAATGTGAGTTGGTTATAATTGGTCTGATTCTTCCTTCTAGAGGAACGATGAAGCCGGAACTTTTGTTTCCATTGTTTAAAAAAAATAAACTGCACCTTAGCATCATACAAGTTTTATATGAAGAAGCTATGATTTTCAAACTATGCTGCCAAAACATCTCACCGTTATATTCCATGGCGACAAGTACAAAATGTGGCAGGGCAAGAAGTCAGCGTTTATGGTTCGGTGGTGCCCACCATTTCACTATTTTATCAGTCGACGTTTTTAAACAAATCGCAATTAAAATGGCGAGATTTAGATCTCACGGTCACTCCAGTAGACGAGAGGTGCTATATTTTTGCTAAATTTAGATTCGAAAGTTAATTTTGTAAAAGCAAAAAACGAACAGATTAATAAACTTTATAACAAGTTCCTCTCATCGCTTTGGACCCACTGGCAGACGTTTTTTTTTTTAGAATTACCCACTGGCAGACGTGTGGTCATGTGGATGAGGCTGGGCTAAAACCCGGCCCAACCCGTCTGCGTCTGGGACTCTGTCTGCTCTGGGCGACTGGGCCGCTGAGTTTGGGACTTGGCTGGGTTTGGGACCGGGCGTCCAGTACTCCAGTCCAGGGCCCTCCCGCCAGTTGAGTCGAGTTGGGGTCGGTCCTCCTGCGCCGCCCTTCGCTTCGACCGTTCGACGGCTTCACGTTGATCCCCGCCTGGCGCCTCCTCCTCCCAACTCACATTTCCCACACGCACCGCGCTTGCCTCAGTAGGAGAGGAAGGAGGAGGAGGAGAGGAGGAAAGCTTCGGAGATGTCAGTACTGATCGTGACCAGCGTGGGGGACATCTCGGTTGATCTCCACACCGACCTGTGCCCCTTCACCACCAAAAACTTCCTCAAGCTCTGCAAGTAAGCATCCTAGAGCAGTACCGCAGTAGGGTTTGGTCTATGTGCGGATTCGTTCGAGCAGTTACGGCAACGCAATTTCTATTTGATGGGTTGTTCCCGTATGTATCGTGATGGATTTCAGGATTTGGCGTTGTAGCCTTGTAGGAATGATAGGTTTTGTAGTGTTAGAGCTGTGCGGGCGTGTGGATTGGTGACGATAATTGCTAGTGTGAACCGGGATATGTTGATAAATTGACTAGTGATATTCTGGGTGTCAGATAACTTTATATGTAATTGCTCAGTAGTCGTGTTTCTCTGTTTTGGAGTTATGGCACAAGAAGATTCAAATTTGTTTGGCTTACATTGTCCCATCTTATATGGCCCAATTGAAGTTAGCCTAATTGAACTACTGCTGTCATGTTCATCGCAAAAAAAAAAAGAACTACTGCTGTCATGCTCATGCACCTGAGCTTGATTCCGGTGTCCGTGCTTTTAAGGGCCATCAGGGGACTGATTTCTGATGCTTAAGTTACATATCTGGTTACTCTTTTGTTATCAGAAAATCATGGAAAATACCAGTGCATGAATCTGAGATCATCGTAAAAATAAATAGGGCACTTATTTTTTTGTTTTCTTCTTTGACTGGCCAGAATGAAGTACTACAATGGGTGCCTATTCCACGACGTAAAGAAGGATTTCTTGGCACAAACTGGTGATCCAACTGGAACTGGCACTGGGGGTGATTCCGTATACAAGTAAGTAATTCTTTTGATTGAACTTCCCAAATATGTCTTCATTCCAGTTACCTCCACCCAAGTTTTATTTAACCCCCCTACTTGCCTTCAAAATCCTGACCTCTGAACCATATAATTTGGTATCCTGCATCATAGATTAACTAATATTTTCGATGATTACTATACATGTATGGTCTTCCCTTTCTTGTCTGCTTATTTCTTTTTCATATGTGCACAATCATTATTGTTACATATTGTCTTAGGTGTATATATTATTTCTTTATGGTGATCAAACTCGATTTTTTCATCATGAGATCCATCCAAAGTCAAGGCACTCAAAACCTGGAACTGTAACTATGGCAAGTGCTGGTGAAAACTGCAATGCCTCACAGGTGAAGTGTCTGTCCAAACTGCTTCACTTGTAAATATTTGATATTTCTTTTTTCAGGATCTCATTGTTTATTTTGATTTTCCATTTATGTATTTTTTATAAAATACTTTTAGTTCTACATTACTCTACGGGATGATTTGGATTACCTTGATGATAAACACACTGTGAGTACTTCATTCCATTAACTGATATTTTTAATGAACTGAATTCGTCCTTATCTGCAGAATCTCATACGTTTCTTCTGTGAACCATAGGTGTTTGGGATGGTTGCTGAAGGTTTCGATACACTGCTGAAAATAAATGAAGCTTATGTTGACGATAAAGGAAGACCATTCAAGAACATAAGGTGGAGCGTTAATAGTGTCTGTGTCTTAGCTACAGCATTAATACTAAAGTTCACTCTTCACCAGCATCAGTTTCCTTCTTTGTTTATTTTTTTTTCCTTGTTGCTGACCTTTTGCAATATATTTATTTGCAGGATTAAACATACATATGTCTTGGATGATCCTTTTGATGAACCTCCTCAGCTTGCTGAACTTATTCCTGATAATTCCCCCAAAGGAAAGCCACGTGATGAGGTAACAAGTATTCTAATCGTGTTCATTTCCAAAATGTGAGATGATAAGTCGGAATTTCTGATTATTTGCTTTTTCTTTGTGTCTGTTTTGCATTTTAGTTCAAAATTCCAGTTATGGCAGATTAGCAGTTACCGAGTGTACATACTCCCTCTGTCCCTTAATGTTGGTCGTTCTAGCTCTGAAAGGTTGTCCCTAAATGTTTGTCGTTGGCGTACTAATCGAGCCCCGTATAGGTGTGTCATACTACCAGAGCACTTGCATGTCACCAGTGCAGCAGCCTTTATCTCTTCCCCCTCTCACAACCACGCATTAATGGCAATGTTCTGCAGCTGGTGAAGGATTATTTTATAGGGTTGTTTAGGCCTTGTCTCATGAATATTGGTCTCCGTGCAGAATGCTTGGGCGACGGACATAAGACGGAGGGAGTATGTTTCAACTGTCTATCTGATTTGTTGGCTATCGAGAATTTCTGATTTGTCTGTCTGTTCATAATTTTTATTTCGGCCATGTCAGTTTTTTAGTGTGCATCCATTTCATTTGGGATTGAAACCTTCCCCCATTGTCCTCTGAAGACAAATTTGTGCAAATTGACTAATGACTAATTGAGCATGTTTCAGCCAATCCGCCTTATAAAAGAGGTTGTGTCTTGAATGCCATAGTAGTTCTGTCAACGTGAGTATACCCTTATATTTTACTTTTGTGCTGCATGCAGATTGGAGAAGAGCGCTTAGAGGATAATTATGTTCGTTCGGACGAAACAGCGGCTCCTGAAAAACTTGAGGAGATGATCCGTGCTAAAGAGGCACATACAAATGCAGTAGCCCTTCAGATTGTAAGTCCTAGTGATAAATCAAAAGTCAGCAGCTTATATTCGTTAGTGTTTTAGTACTGATATCATGCTTACAAGTGATCAATACATTTCGTTGCGCAGATGGGAGATATTCCAGATGCTGAGATCAAACCTCCAGACAATGTCTTATTTGTTCGCCCAATTAACCCAGTAACGCAAGTTAGTATTATTCCTAATTGCTTGCCTTTAGGTTACTTCGTTGGAGCTTTTTGGTGGAACTATAGTATGTTTCTTCAGCTATTATTCTTAGAAATGCTTTTCCCCCAGTGTGTTGGGTGTGTTGCTGATTATTTTGGATACTGAAACTGAACTTATCAAATCAATGTCTTCAATGTTAACAATTTTGCTGAATAACTTCAATTCTTTTGAAGGATGAAGATTTATATACAATTTTCTCTCGTTTTGGAACAGTGACATCGTGAGTGCCTTTCTTAGCTCTGATTAATGCTTACATCTCCTTGTTTATTCTCTTCAATTTGTTTTCTTTTCTTTTTGCAGGGCTGAAATAATTCGTGACAAGAAGACTGGACACAGCTTAGGTTTTTGCTTTCATCGGTATGTTTCATTCCTGTAAAACTCTTGCTGTATACTGTATTGCACATGCATCATCCGTTTTGTCAACTGCATTGCATGTTTATTTGTTGGCTATGCCTCTTTGGTTGATTATCATTTGAATAGGCAACAAGGATGGTTGATTCATCTGATTGTTGAAAGAACAGCAAGTAGTAAATAAACAGGGAAAATATATTTACTTTCTCATCCTCTGTTTTATGCTTCTTTTTTATAAGTAACCACCCATTGTTTCCACAAGCTTTCATTAGGTATAGTTTAAATCCATATAATCTGTCAGAGAATCCATAGTTCCTGCTAAATACCTTATACTTAGCTGAGTTGTCTGATATGTCATGCTAACATTTCTCTTGATGGTATTCTGTCAGAATTCGAAACAAAGGAGGCTTGCGAATGTGCATATTCCCAGTTCCAGGTCAGAATCACAGATTCCCATGTGAATGTGTATTTGCAGTAATGGTATTCTACCATTTTGATGGCATGATGATTTATTGATTAGAGTACTCCTTACTAGTGAATGTCACACGTTTATTAGTGCTTTGATAGAGTCATGCTTTGTTTACGCCCAAAAAGTGACTACTGTTTTTTGAAGTGTAAGAAAGAGTAACCTTCTAGTTTCATCACTGATTTAGTTAGCCCGGTACAAGCAGTGGAAATGAGAAGAAAATAACAGACTTAAAACGTAGAAGCAACCTGATAAGAAAGATGAAATTGAAACAAAGAGCTTATAAGACTAGTCAGTGAAATTGCCTTGAATACTCCCAAATCAAGATTTCTTACAGAGTATTCTGCATTTAGATGAAAAAATGTTTGATTGATGACCGGAGGATCGACGTTGATTTCTGTCAGAGTGCTTTAAGTCATGGAGCCAATTCAGACAAAGCAAAAGATATGCAAAGAGAGGTAAAAGATCATAAACCAGATCGTTTCTTTCGCACTATATTGTTATTTCATTTTATATATCTATATTGAAAGTTGTCTTAGTGTTCTTCCCGTCCAACTATTCTCTGGATAGAGATTACATGATAACCATTCCTCAACCGTAAACCATTCCTTGATAAAGCTTATATGATACCATTCCTCATTGCAGATGGGTGCTTCAGGTGTGGTGCCCCTCGTCACCTAGCCAGGGATTGCGACAAGATGGTGGCCAGAAAAACAAAGGCTTCTGAAAGGCAAAAACACAAAGCACAGTGGAAATTACGGTCGATGGTAACTCTCTACCCTTTCTTCTTTATGTGTTTAATTTGCACTAAATTTATTCTGATCATTAACCTCATGCTTTGACAAATTCTCATTGTGCAGCTATGATCTAGTCTTTCACGAAGACAGCACCCATTCTGATACAAAAGATCACGAAAATGGCCATAGAATAAAGATTCAAAGAGTTGATGATCAAAGATCAGAGCAACCATCTCGGGGTGATCATGGCAGAAAAACCTTGAGAAAAACCAGAGTGATTGGAAAGGAAGCTGGCATGGTAAAGGCGAGACGATAAGAACAGAGGGGGTCAAAGTACCTGACCCCAGCAGAAAGGGGGAGGATGATGAAGATTACAGCCAAAGGGGTAAATCTGATGGTGAACGGCGCCAAAAGAGCCCTAAAAGTAGACATGGAAGATGGTGGATAACACGTGAGACCGGTGAGAGAAACTAGCATTCTGATGATAGGTTGTAGTACAAAGAAAGAAGGCATATAAGGATGTTAGATAGATCTCTGTGCAGCTGTGGATTTTGCCTTTCCACTGAATACTGATGCTGCTATAAATTGACAATATAAGGAGTATTATGAGAACTCTTTCTTTCTTTTGTGTCTATAGATAGAATGTTTGCTGAATCTTTATGCGTTCTCGAAAGTCAAAATCCGCTGATTACTCCATATAACAGTCCAGTACGCTGGCTTATTACGTTTATTATGTTGTTGACGTATAATTGAGTGTTTCTGGTTATGTAGCATAATAACATTCTCTGTAAAATAAATGTACATCTTTGTGCTGATTTTTTTTTAATTTCTGCGTAGTGAAACGTGAGTTGCAACTCTTTTCGGGGAAAAACGTGAGCTGCGATGTTGCGTCCAGTTAATCAGGGGCCATGGTCTGTTAGTCTGTATCACTGGGCTGCATACCCATTAGGCCAGCTTTGACACAACAGGCCCATGTACAAGGGCGTTCACAAAGCAAGACAGCCCGGGAAATCATGTTCAGTCCCACACCGGTCAGTCTCAAGGAGATTAGCCAACCAACTCAACTCAAGCAGCTGTGTGGTGAGCACAAAGCGAATTATTCTTTCACCTTTTACTAAAGAATACTGTGTGAAAGCGCCCAACAAATCGAGATTTCTAAATTTTGAAATATGAAGATTTTTAAATTTTGAGATTGAGATGGGATGTTCTGTTTCAATTTACGGAATTTAGGTGTTGGCCCTGTTGCTGTGAGGAAATGGACAATCACACATTTCTATCTAGGGTTGGTGAAGAACAGCAAGAAGAAGCTCAGTAGTTGGGGAGTGTATTACCTTTGGATTTCATTTCACGTAATCAGTGATTGCGGCCAACCTTCCAGGAAGTGGGCCTACATATAGTAGTTTGTCTAATGGTCCTTTCCTCTTACACATTCCTGTTAGAATACGGCCCAAGGCCGAATATGTACACTAGACAAGATCATAAGAATGGGCTTCTGCTCCAAGGCATTATTTTGGAACAGAGAGAGTACACGGCAACCTCCACCTTCGCTCGTTCAAGGATATCTAAGGTGGAGAAAATTGGATATTTACCTTCCTCTATGATAGGCTTTGCAAATTTACCCTCCTATCGTTGACTTTGCAAAAATACCATATAGTACAAGGTTAATTTGATTTCTTTGACATATCACCTATTTAATTTCTTTTACTTTGGATCCTTTTATCGACTCCTTAAAATGCGGATGCATATTTATTTTGGAGGCTCTAGCCCCCTCCACCTTTGATCCTAAGGATACGCGGAGGTGGAGAAACCCTTCTTTAAAATTTTATGCATATATGTATTAGGTAGGAGGAGCTAAGGTTAAGAGAAAATTAAAAAAACCTCTATTCTTTTGTTTAGCCCCTCCTAAATTTTTTTCTGGCTTCGTCACTGCTTTTCCTAATACCAAGCACAAATGATCCACTGCTAGTGAAGGAGGCATAGTATCAACAAAACTCCTTCCACGAGCACAAATGATCCACTGCTCATGACTGGAAAGATATGCACTCCAGTCGATCTACTCTTGGAAATAAAAGTTCTGAGGGATGAACAGCACGAAGAATATCGTAAAGTCCGTATGAGAATGTATTGTTGGTGCAAGAGTATAAACAAGTGACATGTCAGCAGGAGAAAAAATTCAAAACTCCTTTTCTAAAACACCATACATTGTTGGTTGCAGTGGCTTCATCTCACATAAATATATATACAATGTTATTTTGTATCTTTACATGAGTGGCGATCTAGTCTCACTATTACAAAAAGGATTTGTAGCAACGCCCACTTATACACCAAAAAACATGAGCTCTACAAGTTTGCAGTTCGAGCCATTTCTATATATTATTACGTCTATTCCACCGCCAATGTGAAAGGCTAGTACAAATCAACAATACTAAAACAAATGTTTTTTATATGCGCTTTGGGTATGGTCTAAAGTTCGTTTGAGCCTGAATACATTAATGTGACCGCTAGTGTTAATTGATTTACTATTTTCTAAGGTTTTAAGTGATATCAATTTTGCTAGTGTTAAGTAGATTAATTCAAAAAAATTAAAAGAAACTCGTAAGTGAACTCCATGGATGTAACAAATTTTACACAAGCGGTTCACATAAAGCCGATCAGCCTCTGAATTTGATTTTCTTGAAGCGGTTTGTTCGTGAGAGGCCCTAGTGTATTGTGTTTAAAAATTCAAATCTTGGATCTGAACCATATTTTTCCTTTACATGAATTATTTTTATTTTTCAAATCGTTTTACAAACCCATAATCACATAAAATTATATTTGCATGCATGAAAAAAAGCATTTACATTTATTTTACAATCTACCATAGTCATCACACCCTAATAATAATGTTACAATAAAGTTTTTTACCACTGGTAGCTGCAGGTCCCATCTAATAATCATCGCTTTTAGCTCGGCACACTAATATCTTCGAGATCTCGATGATGCGTGGTTGAGCTAATTCCACCTGTATCAATGTAAAATACTTCCCATCTGGGAAGTGAATTATTTCTTTCATGATGAACCAACCAGCTAAGTCATCATAAAGTGTTCATGAGCTCTTTAGTCTCATTTAGCCTACTTTTATCCAATCACACTTGTATACCGCAAAATATAATAAGTCATCATACATTTACAACTAACCAATATGGAGAAAGGCATCATTAGTGACAAAACTTCACATATGACTATTACTTACTTTGCTAGGAGTTGTTGGTGTATCTCCTATTTTCTCTATGAAACTTCACGCTCAAACCACTACCCAAATACACCATCTTTGATCCTGGTGGTTACTTGTGGCACTATATAAGAATTGGCAAAAATTGGAAAGTGGTTACATAGTTGCTACGTATACATATATACAAGACAAATATGTATGTTTATTTAAAATTTACCTCAAAGTTAGTCCGCACATATAGCGATTTTTTGACTTTTTTAAATCGTATCGTCCACCCTTGAACTTATAGAACTTGTATGCCCTGCAAAGCTCGAATGAATTCAACAAGTCATATCCAAACTCTCGTAGATAATATAGAAATATGGAAAAGCACGCATGCAAATCTATGCGTAATAGTCTACTTCTTCATTGCTAGTGGTTTTTGAACTCTCTTTGGTCTTTTTTTGGGTCTTCTTTTGCTTCTTCCCCATCTTTACGCAAGCTCCACTCTCTTCCTCCCGATAGTCTTTATTCGTCTTGTACCTACTCGCACCACAATTCGGACAACTCTCTAAGTCTTTGTAATCATCACCTCGATATAGGATACAATGATTCCTGCACGCGTCGATCTCTTCGATACCCATAGTCAGTGAACTGATTAGCTTCTTTGCATAGTTTGTGTTAGCATGCACTTTATTCCCCTTTGGAAGGAGTTTTGCAAGAACACGCAAAAACTCATTGAAGCTAGCATTAGACCAGTCATACCGAGATTTTAGCATAAAAACTGAAGGACAACTCTCAGTGTGGTGAATTCATCGGTACAACCCTTAGACTCTTCATATAAATGCTCTGTTGTTGCCTTCTTTAAGGCCTCCATTCCTTTGATAAGGAACATAGAAGGATCAAAATAACGGTGCAACAATGCCTCGAAAAACTCTGCTTGTTCACTTTCATCGACGACATGAACTTCGTTGACGTCTTCACACACATTTTGGACATCGACATCATCATCACCACTAAGATCCACCATAATAGGATCAGTCTGGGGCCTATGGTGTCGTGTCCCGTCATCCATATTCAGTCCATCTGCATGCACTGGGTTGGCTTCTGCAGAAGGCGCGGAACTACCCTCTCCATGTTTCAACCAAATCAAGAAATCGGCGAACAAAATGAGAACTGATTTCTTCTGCATCCTCAAATACAACAATATTTTTGCATTCGATGCACGGACAACATATGTACTTCGTCTTCTGTCTGTATGCATGCCTCCTAGCGGCATCAATAAACTTACAAACCTCCAAATGGTATACGGGTCTAATCTTGATAAGCTATACATCCATAATGATTTTTCCATCTTCAGCTATACAAGAATTATTATAATTGTAATGTGTAATTAAATGGTTATGTTTAAAATTATTTGATTCAAATTAAAATTATTGTAATTATTTGAATAAACTAAAAATTATTGTAATTTCAAAAAATCTAGTTTAGTGAATAAACTAGATTGTTTAAGATTTTTGTAAACAATATTTCTCTAGCTAGATGTAGTTTTAACAATATTTAACATTTTTTTAAAACATATTTTAACTCCCACATTATTTATAACAATCATGATTCATGAGATAATACCAATTCTCTCTATATAATACTACAATTTCTCTCTCTCCCCATGAAACCCTAGGTCTAATTTTGAATCAAATTTATAATGGAGAATCAACTATGAGAGGCGCACCACTAAACCAAACCTTCTAAGACACCATGCATTGAAACCCTAAACAAAAATCTACTACCATTCTCTCTCTCTGTCTCAAAACACAAGCATGAAACTCTCTCTCTAGCTAGATCTAGTTTTAGTTCAAATTGAGAAGGACTAATGCAAAAAGAGCTATGAGAGGCATTAACTAACCTTCTTAAGCCACCTCCTCCAAAGAAATGAAGAGCAAAACCTCTCCCCTTGTATTTTGTGATTTTTGGACCTCCAAGTTCACCACCAATGGAAGTCGGCTTGGCTAAACAGTGCTGGTCGGGGGAGGAAGAAGCAGCATTTATAGCAAATGTCTTACAGGTGAAAGTTCTAGTTTGGTTTTGGTGAATTGATGAAACCCTAAGTGCTAACCTAGTTTATCAAGTGATCATGAGATAGGTAGCACATTCCAAGTGGTGAAGCAAATGAAGATCATGACATGATGATGGTGATGCCATGGTGATGATCAAGTGCTTGGACTTGAAAAGAGAAAGAGAAAAACAAAAGGCTCAAGGCAAAGGTATAAATGATAGGAGCCAT